ATTGAATGTAACCAGACAAGTAAACGCATGATAGTGGAACACTATTATTATATACTTGTTTACAGTTCACCTTCTCATCTGGATTCAAGTCTCCTAAAGGTATGTCAGGAATCAATGCTGGTGCAGTGTCATCACAAATCGTTGTACCCTCAAGAGCAACATGTGTGGTCTGACTAAGGTTGGCATCCTGGCCTTGAACAAGAAATAAGAAAATGTGAGCAACTGAATGATGGTCAATGTGAAATAATTAATGTACAATGTATCTGAACTCTTTGTTCTACCTGGTTTTAGGCCAGCAGTTAGTTTAACATCTTTGGCCATGCCTTCTTCTTGTGACCGAATAGTGACATTGAGGCTGTACATTTCATTATTGAGCACTGGAGGCTGGTGGCTGAGCTGTACCGAGATTTTGGGAACTCTAGAAATTATCCTAAGGAAAATTATGTAAAATGTCAGAATTGTGGACAATTTATTACTGGTTCTGTTATTAAAGTCTTATTTTGTTTGCACAAAAGCTCTTTACATTGTACTATGCTGAATAGTAATAGTGTCCCATTCCTGTTCTTGATTCATTTCAAGACTCCGCCCCCATCGACGTGATGACCGACTGGCCTGCAAAGCTTCATGTGTTGAAGCAATGTCTCCACCTGCTCCTCTCCAGGTCAGAAAAACACAACGGCCTCTGTCGCTGCCCAGCAACAACTCTACACCATTCATCTAAGCACACAAGAACACTACAATTAGTACTTATTCTTGTATGTCACTATATTTTTTTTAAATGACCTACAAGCCGTAAGTACGCTATAACAAAACCAATAAAAATGCATTTGTTAAATCATTCAGATTGCTTACCTCAATCTTTTTGCCAACATCTTCAGTTTTAGCAACAAAGTTAAAGTTATAGCATTTTGTTTTGCCTGGTGTAAGGCTCATAGTATTTTCACCTGAAGACTCTACAACACACCACTGGTTGTACTCCTAAATAAGACATGAATAATTATGCAAAGTATTTTTAATAACAAGTATATTAATGCAATTTTAAACATTATCAAGTACCTGGTTGCTAAGACTGACAGCCAACTTGCTGAAGGACACAGGATTGGGACCATCGGCTCTGAGGAACACCTGTAACTGGATGGGTTGGTCGACATGAAAACTGGGGGACTGGAACTTGGCTTTACACTGGACTGGAGGCAAAACAAATAATACATAAAATACATATTTTTAACTAAATGGGGATGTAAAGAAATGTCACTGACTGAATGGAATGTAGTCTTGCACTTCGATTGTGAACTCATTAGCTCCAGCCAGAGCCATGCGGTCGCTCCACAGTGATTTAGCTGCACTGGCAGAAGAAGGGTCACACTCCAGCTCTGCATCTGGAACCTCATTCTTACAAAAGACAAATCTTTGTAAAGATCCATGCGGCAACATCTTTAAATGATTTATCTGGTTCCATATATTTATTTACCATTAAAACTTTGGTAAGGTTTTTCTCAATCCTTAATTTCTGATCTTCCTTCAAAGTGGATGCTAGAAAGAAAGGATATTTATGCAGTAGAAACATTTTGTGTGGCAATTTCACCCAGAATAAAAAAGTATAAATTAATTAATTCATTCATTCATTATAAAGTATTTGGGCAAAGGTGTCGTTTCTCACCTCTGCCCAGCAGTTCCAAGCAGTAGATGATGTAGTCTTTAACACTGGCCATGAGATAAGCACATCTCAGAGCTGTTGTGAGGATGGCTGTCAACAAACCCCACCACTTCTCAGTGCGATAGTCACACATGACATAGTCCAACAACCTAGTAGACGAAACAGGTGTAATTAAGGCACCTATCATCAGGTAATAATACCTAAAGTCATTATAACTCGGGCTAGCTGCACTTTCTTAAAATGTAACCTTTGTTTTACTTACTTAAGGGCTTTGGTGTAGTCTTTTGCATGATAGTACTCCTCTCCCATCTGAACCACTGAAAAACAGAGAATAATTTGGTCACAAAGTGATAAATGAAAGAATATTTAAAACATTCTTACTCAGATGGCTCTTCATCCGAGGACACTTGTACTTCTTAAACTGGGCCACAGCATTGCTAAGAAGAGCTATTATCAGTTCCTGTTAAGACAGAGATCAAACACTTCAGTGGCTTGCTATGTTGTAAACACTACATTTGTAATAATCATATTTTTATAGATGTTCAATGGAATTCAGAATCATGAAAGATTAGGACATCTAAAACAAAATATTGTACATTTTGAAATGTGAAAAACTGAAACCCATGAAAAAAATGTTCACTCACCGAGTGAGGTACACCTTTCTCTTTGATTTGTAGAGCTAGTATCCCTGTCTTTTCTTTCTCTGCATCTGGGGGGTCAATACCTGCAAGTACGTCAAATATTACCAGTGCATATCTAGAATACATGTATATGTAAACATTATACATTTGATAATAAGTCTTGTTTATGGACCAACTGCTTACTCTGGTGGCCTTGTCTCCAGGGTCTTTGACCATAGAAGTCCAGGGTCCCACTCAAGGGGTCGGTTGTAGGATAGCTCACTCCAGTCTGTTAGCAAAAAATACATAAAAAGATAAACATCTGATAGAAGAAAAATATTTAAATATCTGGTTTATCCCAATACATCACCTGACAGAGCTGATGAGCTAGTTGCTTTCTGTCCTGGCTATAGCATGCAGCTTGCTGATAGTAGAAACCTGGGTTCTGAGTTTGGATGGCTGTCAGACCCAATTTAATGGCTTCATCAAACAATTCACCAAATGACTGAAACCTGAAATAATATATTAGATAAGAAATTGTTAAAATAAACCAATTTTTAAACCCAAGTTTAAACCCATAAAATACACTACAGTACTACACTACAGTAGTAGGCCTTACTGTTTTGACATCCATGCTGCATGTTCAAAGGCCAGCTCTGCACTACCTATTTTCTTCTTACACAAGTCAATATGTTTCCTAAATTGTGCAATAGCATCAAGGGGAGTGTTATGTTGAAAACACAGGCGACAGATCTGGGAAGACATAAAGGAAAATCAGCATCGTAGGATTGTGGCAACTGTTATAGTCAACTTGGCTTGGCTTGTTTTACCTTATAGTTTATAAATCCAGCCATTGTTTTGATTTCCAACATATTGGTCTCATGTGCTCTGAGCTCATGGATAAGACTGTATGCTGTTCTATAGTATCTACAGAAGAATGAGAGAAATTTTTTTAGTAGTATGTATACTACTAGAAAATTGGAGTATAGTATAATAGACAATAGTATAATATAGTATAGTAGAGCAGTACAGCTACTACAATAACAAAGGCTTACTTGAGAGCATTTTGTGTGTCCTGCTTTAGTTCACTGAAAAAGGCTATTTTGAATTGATGTCTGACGAACAAAAGCTGTAACAAACATACATTTATAGTTCCTTTTTGTTTATTATAAACATGAATAAAAATATATATATGTACCTGATGTGTCGTTTTGTTAAGGAACTCTTTGTGAGATTTGACACGACGGATCTCAGTGTAGTAATATGTCTGAGCATGCTCATAGAAGGCGTTCTCCAACCTACAGAATGATATGTTTTTTCCTGACAAAAAGCAATTAAACTGCAGAAAACAGTAAACTAGGGAAGCCTCTTACCTAATAATGTAGCCCACCAGGTGATCCGTGTGTGGCAGTACAAACAAACTTTTGCCTGACAGATCACAAGCATTGCAGAGAGCAGATGCCCTCTCAGATGCAACAAGGTCCTCCCCTAAGAAATCATACATACTTTGTTACTCACTTAAGAATATACATTTCTCTAATAGCTCCAATCAAGTTCTTTTGCTTGAGCAGATGGGATATTTTGTTTCTAGACAGAAGTATGAAGAAGAAAATATGGAGGAACGGACTTTACCTGGTGGCAAAGGTGTTTTCTTTTGAATAAGGACTACAGCAACTTTGGTGTTTCTCCCCTGAAGACTGGTTCTAAGAAAATCAGACAAAGAAAACATATTTATGTGTATTTTTTACATAAAGATGTTTAGAATAAAACTATTATGTGTGACTAATATTACGTGGTCTTAGCAATGTAGTTACTATAAACCATCTAAGTCATAGCACAAGGCACACCTGACAATCTCCACTTTAGTTGCACATTCAGATTGCTTTTCTTTCCATTGAGGGTCGTCCCAGTCCAATTCATAAAAAAGAACAACCAGAGCTGGCACCAGATTCAGGTGTTTGTTCATCCAACCAGTTTTTAAAATGCCTTTGGGTATGTACCATTCATATGATGTCCGCTAGAGGATAAAATGTGTGAGTGAGAATTTATATAGATTATATTCTGCAATAATGTAATGTACAGGTTTAAATTATTGAGCACCTTGGTGCGACATTTAGGATACTCATGGTCTCCTGGGAGGACTTTGAAAGATATTGGAACTCTGTCTGCTCTACGGTTAGCACAGAAGGCATCCCATATGGCTCTATGGACAGCATTGTACACAACATCCAATCCTGTGAGTGCCACAAAAGCCATGGGCCGACAGCAAAGCTCAGGGGGAAGTTCCCATTGAGAACCTGCCATCCTGATGGTTCCACTTCTGCAAGTCCTACACCTGTACAAAAAATACATAACTACATTGTATTAGAAAATTCATATTATACATCTCTAATCATTTAACTACAGCAAGTGGACTACAGATACATGTTGTTTAGAAAATTAGAAGGCTGTCTCTGCATTTGTTTTGCCAGAGGTTGGTATTCAAAGCATGGGGTGCATTAGACTTCAATCAAATGTGTCCCATATCACTCACACTATTGCTGACAAGCCTAGCTGGTCACAAGACACTGCACAGCATAGCACAGTTGCTGTTTACATCCTTAAGCCCACTGCAGATCAAGTTTAGTTATGTTGAAAGGTGACTCCCAGCAAGTCGTGTTTCATGCATTAACGCCAAGTAAAACACACATCCATGTAACACATTAGAAATTTATAACAGTCAGATGGAATAGTCTTCAAATTCACTAAAAATAAAGCGGAAGTGAGATGAATAAAACTAAACTTCGATACTTAGATCTATTGTCACGCCTATAATGTTATCCAATGCATCTTCTGAAATATAAATATATTTTGTACTCTTAATACCTGTAGATATGCAGAAATTAACTGTCTACTCGGCCAAGTAAGAGACGTCTTGGCTTTGGCTAATAAGCAGCTAATGACAGGAGCCTGTGGGCGAGGTTATCTAGAAAACAACCTTTAGCAATGTTTAGAGATTCTGACCTTGAGTTATAGGCTCAAAATATTCGCCATCCAATCGACTGTTCTTGTAATGAATTTCAACAACAACCTAGAACTACATACTACATTATTTTGCCGATATTCCTCAAGAAAGCGTATCGCTAGCTAGCGCTAGCTCCTGTAACTTAACCTGATTTGCAACAACTTCCGGTTCAAGGTCTTCAAAATACATTAACCCTGTTGTGTCTGTTATGTATGTACATACCATGGATCAGGTACATACCGTGAGCCGAAACTACAGAAGATTAGAGAAATTATAACAATTTTAACTTTTAATAACATATTTGTTTATTTATTCTTATTTTTTATGTTTTCAAATTTTAATATACAGTACAATATTAAATATTGCAACAACACAGGAGCCTACATTGTATGATGTTAATGATATATTACATTATTTGTTAGGGCATACATTGTTATAAATGTGAGTGGTCTATAAGCTGCAGTGTGTTAGCCTAAATGTTGTCTCCTCTGGGCAGTCCTCTTTGCTGTACCTCTTCTTCTGCCATCTGGAAGGTCAACACTGGAGGTCTGTGCATGTCGTAAGTGCAGTATGACTTTGTGAGGCGGCAAAAGGATGATGTGTCCAAGAGTTCATCTTCAGAGATGTCTTCCGGGATGTCCTGGTGATGTCTGTGGGATAGCTCATCATTCAAACCAGACACCATTTTTTTTACATCTTGGACAAGTGTGGAGATTGAGCGAAGACCAAAGAGGCAAAGCAGAAACACCAGACCAGCGCAGATGCCAGAGACAAAGTACATTGCCACTTTTTCAGGAAAATCTAGACAGAAGTGGTTAAGAATATTAAGTTTCACATTGCAATAGTAGGCCTTTCACCTGCAAAACATATAGGCCATCTTATTTCTGCATCATTGTCTTACTAACCACTTAAGAAAATTTTAATATCATCTAATTCAGTGCAACTTTTAGCTAGTGTATTTTTGGCCAACACAAAGCCTGCTTGTGCAACTATACCCAATATCTCTCAATAATCTTCCAAAAGTTGGTAAAGATATAATGAGGCCTGAATGAAGGACCACTGTTCACACCTGTAGGGCAGAGATAAGTAATCTTACCATTAGTGTAGTCTGAGATCATGAAAGGATTTGTTGATCCAAGTCCCACTTCTGCTAGAAGATATTGGGGCACTATAAAAGAAGTGAAAATTTTTATTTAAAGCTATGAAATAAAGCTAACTATATTTTATTTTACCCACCACAAGTGAAGGACACTCGCAGATGCTTCCTGGTCCCTGGGAAACAGGGGTCTCCAAAGGTCATAACATCTGCCACCAGTGAGCAATTCTCTCTGCCATGGCATCTGCGGGACACCTTCCTCAAAGCTGTGGCAGACATGCACTCTGTAATACAACAGTTTATTTTATATAATTTCATTTTATCATCAACACCAGATTAATTACCATTAAAGGCAACTAGCAATATGACATGCTCCAAATAGGGCCATTGGATTGATTCACTGTTCATCACGAATTAAAAGTGGTGACAACAAATTGTAAGAGATAAAGCAAGCCAGTGACAGTTAACTGAAATGATTAAGCATGCTAATATGGCAAGAATAAACATTACCCTTATAGAACTGTCTTCAGTAAACAGCATTTTTTATGACTGTTAACTCACACCACTATTGTAGTTGCTGACAAGACTACTGCATGTATTTGAATGTGTGTCCACTAGGGGACTCTTGTCTCTGACCCATGTCTGTGTGAGACCCTGGTTTCTTGGGACAGTTGGGACTTCCATGTAGCAGGTGACCAAATGTGGCTGAGTAAATGGCAAGAACTGTGTTGTTTTTACAAAGCAACCGCAGACGCTCATTTTCACAAACCAGTCTTGTTCGATGGTGCTCTGAGAAAAAAAAAGAAACAAGAGTGTGTGTGTTTTGATTTAAATATAAAATTTCTGTTTTGTAAAATTATATTCAAATTTTATGAAGAAAACAGTACATTCAAAATGCTTGTTATGACATACGTGGCTGGCACTTATATGAGACTTGGAGATATTTGGTGTTGAGTGGGCATGGGTCTCCCCCCAAAAACAGGCTCAAAACAGAGATGTGACAAGACTGCTGATCTTGACATTCGGACTGAACTTTCTGTAAACAAACAATGAAGTGCATATGGAGCAGGGGGACCAGTTACCCTTCAAAATGTTTGATTCAGCTTGGAAGTTTCTAAGGATAGGAAAGAATACTATGTCCTCTTATTGAATACAATTTAACTTAAACCTCTTTACAACTGAACTCTTTTCGCACAAAACAATGTTTGGCCCGCTGCCCTATTTATAACAACTTTAGTCTGCCCTTTCGAGGAATGGGTTTGTCGTATACCTCAATAGAATCTGCTGAGGTACAATGTGTGTCTTCCTCCATGGTGTTGTTTGGGCTGGCAGAAAGGCAAAGAGGTGAGCTGAGGACATGGCGTCCATAGAAGGCAGACAGGACAACTACAGAAGTCCTGGGGGGACATGCAATGGTGAGGGTGTCATTTTCACAGGCATGTGCTGTGTGGTTCTTCAGGATTGAGTGAAGGTGAACTGTAGAAAAAAAATATATAAGGATGTAACATTATAACAGTACTGTACTGATTTTTACAGGCTCTAAAATGTACACAACTGTAGTTAATGTGTTTGTTGTAGCTGCATAGTAAAAAGGGTGTCACAGGTGATAGGTGATGACTGAATATGTCATCAATGGCATATCAGTTATATATGATAAATGTAGCATGGATGTCATTGTTTACTGGGTGGTGTCCCTTTTATTGGGTGTAGTTCTCCAAGACAATATTTGGACTATGACCACACATGTTAGAGTATCTCCCCTCCCATCTGTGTTTCCTGTTCTTGCATTGACGACGTGTGTCTCTGAGAGTGTAGCTCCTCTAGTCAGGGAGCAAACAAGGGGCAGTACCAGGCGCCTTCTTACAATGAGCTATTAATAGGCATTTGAAACCATGTTGCCAGAATATCTGACCCCCATTTGACTAATAAAGTCTGTATAAGAAATATCTATCTACATTTTACATTGAAATGCATTATACTGGAAAAAAAACAATCAAATAAACATACAATGTACTTCATAAATCAACTGTTATTCATTAGTTTTGGAAGTTTACTGCATATTGGCCCAACAGTCCATGACCTGAAGTCACATTGTTCCTTGATGTGAGTTGCACCAGCTGTCTTAAACAGGAAGGATGTCAGAAATTGGGAAAGAACTATAGCATACAACTTCCTTTACAGATCAAATCTGAAGAAATACAGAAGTCAGCATTTCCAATAAAACAGAACTTACTTGAGAAGTCAGGGGCTGAGGATGTGATTTGTATTTCCAAAAGAAGAAGAATAAGAAAAACAAAAATAGGCCACAGCTGCCATGAAAGTGTCATGATAACCTCCTTTATGGCAAACCTCAGTGTTGCTATGAAAACCATTGCACATGGAACACACAGTCAATGGGTCAATGGTGCTATTGTGTTTAGAAGAAACAACTCCCCCATTTAGCCATAAAATCCACTGCTGAAAGATTAGTGCTTTTAAGATTAGAATGGTTAACTTGTAGATTAAACTGCTAAATCATAAAAAGGCAGAAGAAATGAACAAAAAGGTAAATGTGTAAATGGGGTCCATCCTTAATATCAACAAGAAAATCACAACTACCATTGGCTGTCATAAACTGGAAGAACATAATATTATGGGTTAACAGTCAACCAATTTCGGTCAGGATTTGAGTGAAGAGCTGCAGAGTTTGTTCTGCTTAATGATTGGATAATCAGCTTGAGAAATAAAACATAAAACATACAGAAACACACAACATAAACAAGAATGTACACATCGTACAAACATCTTTATCTTGTCAGATCTCAGAAGGTCTGGGGACAGGAACACAGGTGCTAGTGGGACACCAGTAGGTGCAACGTGCAAAAACTGTTGTTGTGTTCTTAGGCAAGGCACTTCACCCACATTGTCTAGTATGAAAGGGGTAGTGGTATATGTTGCATACTTGAAAATGACAACAATAAACAAATTATTATTTAAAAAATAAAAATAAAAACTATTAAAAAAACATTGCCTGAACTGAGTCGACTGAATCAAAACTTTCACTTGCGTTTGTGCAGTAAGTGTGGTCCTGCTTGTGGAGATAAGCCACTTGTTTCCAAAGTCACTTCCAGCTGTGTGTCTGTCTGTGTCCAAAACAGATATGTGTAATCTACCTCCGTGACACTGGGCTTCCATATTTTCTCTCTCAAATGGGAAACAAGAGGTCACAAGTTTTTTAAGTGCTGCTCAGCTTCCAGGAATACTCATCAGGAAATATCCCCATATCCTGTCACGCTTTATTTTGTGTCTATTTTATAAACACTACATAATGAAGGTCTAAAAAGTAGATGCTCCTACTGTCATGCCAGTTTATCACAGATAGGAAGTGGCTGCATAAAATTATTCCATGGTTTTCAGCTTTTGGCGGGACTTTTTATCATTCAAAACACATTTTTATTTTAATTGTTCTTTGCTATGGCAACGGTGCATTGGCCAGGCCTCACTGAAAAGCACAACCTAACAGTTTTAATCACAAGTGCAGATTGGTGAGGCACTCCCACCTCATTCTACACTGAAATTCCGTTCACTCCCCAAAGAAATGTCAACAGAGGATAATTACTCTAAAGAACTTTCTGGTCTGCCTAATTTATAGTGGAAAGTCATATCATAAAGGTTTAAGTAAAACTGCAGACAAGAAGACCAGAGTATACTGTCTCAGTATTAAAATGTAATTATTCATTTGGACAGAATGCAAGTTTGAATCCAAATTTTAAAATAACAAATTTGTTGAGCAACACAGATTTGATTGTAGGCCAACTATTTCCAGGCCAGTAAGCAGTTAGAAGTGTATTCCACAAGCATTACTTTTTTGCTGATAACATGAGAAATCACCACAGCTCTACTTTCTGTTTGAAGTAAAAACAATTGCAGCTCTTCCCATGTAAGATAATACATTTAGAGGTGAGTCTGTTTTGCTTATTTTGGCTGTATGGCTTCACCACTGTTCTGAACTACTATTTTACAGTCTCCCCTGGTAGACAATTAGATTAGTTGTCAGCCTTGTCCAATTAAAAGTAGGTGCTGTTTCCCTTTCCAGTGTATTTCATATGGTGTCACAGTGCATTTGACAGGTTTTCATGTTTTTCTCTAATTTTTACATTCTTAGGTATTATAGTGCATGTGGTAAATCCAGTTTTACTGGATATTGATTTGATAGTTTTACATCAGTGAAGTAGTTTGTGAAAAAAGTAGAAAGAAAAAGTTAAATTAGAGAGACAGTAGTGCTAAGATAAAAAAGAATTTCTCTAAAAATAAATACAGGAACAATGTAGGAGCAATTTGCATATTTTTCTACATTCATTTAACAAGAATAAACGTGTTGGTTGCCATATATTTGTATCTGTCAAAACACACAGTTATTGTGAGACAAGCCTTTTTGCCCTTGTTTACATTGTAGTTATTAGTTAACAGTTATGGAATTTAATCTATGTCACTATCTGCCCATGTCTAGCCAGGAAGTTGAATTATTGACTTCATGTATATTGTCAAAATTGGGGAGAAATTGGTAAAAATATGTCACAAATTCTTAAATACAGTTAAATTTAAGTGAAAATGTAGCCTAACCTTTCAAATGTGATTTAATAATTTGGTTGTGCCATTTCACTTTCAGTTCCTGTATATTGCAATAGTCATTGGTCCTATTTTGAGCATTTCTGACTTCAGTTTATAAGAGGTAGTACCCCCACCCATTCTCTCTCTCGGTCTTTTGGATCCTCCCTCTTTTTCCTGACTTGTGAAGTATGCTCAGAGTGATAGTCTCCAAGGAGCTCCTGTCTAAACCCTGCCAACAGTACTGAGGTGTGCAACTCCTGATTTCAACATCAAGACAAACGCCACACCTTAGCTGTATTTTCAGTTTGGATTTTGTCTCTCAACATAATTTTTTTCAGGACTTTTGAAAGTTTTGGAAAATATTTTGTCAGGATATCATGGCGCTGCGACAAAACTCTGACAAGGAACCAAGTATTGAGCTGTTTGTCAAGGTAAATATATGTGAAATTCAGTATTTGTTAATTAAATGTTTAGAATAAGCTCTGATTAATCACATCAAATACCTGTAAAAGAATGTTACCAAGATCTTTGTTGGTAAAGTGACTTGCTCAGAGGCATCTTTTGAAGCATCAGGTGTTAAAATGTTTGTGTTGTGGCTTTATTCATTTATCAGTGGAGCATAGTTGCAGATGGCCCAGCTTATCTGTCTGCACTCAGAGGCAGTGGGGAGCCTCATGTGGGACTGGGCACACCCACCTACAAATACTATAAGTAATTGGGGAAATGTAGAATTGTATATTAGTCCACATACTTTTTTTTCTTCCTAGGTTATGTGAAATAATACTTTTACCGTCTAGCCAAAATCCTAATTAAATCAAAGTGTCTAGGTTTGGTTTGAGAATATTTGCTAGACAAGTTTAAATATGTTTTTTGGTTTGTATTTTCACAGTGGTTTTACATGCAATAACACATCTAATGAGGCTAATAACCACTGAAATTAACACAGTGATTGTTTTGTTTTTTGTTTTGTTTTTTATCAATACAAATACTTCTTATATCATTCCTTATTAGTGAGAGTCTAACATTCTTGGCATGCAAGGCTATGTCTCTCTTTATCAGTAAACGGGACAGAATGTGAAATGACCTGAAGGATGTCTGAAGTTCAAATGCCTTTCCTGTGCTTGTGTGTGTATTTCAGGCTGGACATGATGGTGAAAACGTGGGGAACTGCCCCTTTTGCCAACGCCTCTTCATGGTCCTGTGGCTAAAAGGAGTCAAGTTTACAGTGACCACCGTTGACATGAGGAAGTGAGTCCCCATCACCCCCACTCAGGGCAAAAACACACACTTCCTGAGCATCTGGTGGCAGGGACTTTCACACAAACCTCTTTATGGAAAATATAGATTTTCTTTCTTGTAAACTATTTCCAAAAGGTGTTCGGCTTCCATTTACCACAGCTCTGGACATGGGCCTGTTATTTTGGTTTGTACAAAGAGTGCTGTGTTGCTCACAAACAAATACTGTCTTATACTGAGAGCGTGTATTGTGTAAATTTCTCAGGCTATTAAGTAGTAAGTAAATAAGATCAGAAACCTTCAAAGGATGGAGGTATAGCTGAATGATTCAGAAAGCACACAAGCAACCACTCCCATGGCAAAGTTTTTATAGCCAAGCAATATGTTAAAGTTAAATAAGATCAGCACTTTTGACCTTTGACCTTGACACTTGTATTGTCTAAGAAAAAATTACTATGATAATATGTGTATGTCCACCATAGAAAACCAGCAGAATTGAAAGACTTAGCCCCTGGAGCCAATCCACCATTCCTTCTCTACAATGGCACTCTCAAGACAGACTTTATCAAAATTGAAGAGTTTCTTGAGCAAACGCTTGCCCCACCCAGGTATTGAGGGAGTTCTAGCATTTTGGATAAAAATATTTTTTGATGTATTTGATTTTTATTTTCTTCAACACATGTATCTGTTTCATAGATATCCTAATCTCAGTCCCATAAACAAAGAATCATTTGATGTGGGAGCAGATATTTTTGCGAAGTTTTCAGCTTTCATAAAGAACAGTCCAAATAATGCATGTAAGTACTGAAGGAATAAAAATTTTCAAGCTAGCTCATATAGGAAAATAAGTTCTATTTTATTGGAGCTAAGAGTTGTGAATTGGTATTATAAAATACTAATATCCCTGCACACACTGAGATAAAAGAGCAAAACAGTGGCTAGAGATGCAACTACTCTGAATGCTAATGAATGGACTTTAAATCAAACTTTATTTATGAGGAAGATCTAGAGTTATGATAAGTATAGATTGTTTGCCAGCTTAAGAAATATGAAAGAGAACAATTAAGAAAAATGTTTGTTTTTATAGTGCAGCAGAAAAACCTTTTGCGAGAGTTCAAGCGCTTGGATCATTACCTGAACTCACCGTTGCCAGAGGAGATTGATCACAACTCCATGGACACTGTCACTATCTCCACAAGGAAGTTTCTGGACGGGGACCGCCTGACATTAGCAGACTGCAACCTACTGCCTAAACTACATGTGATCAGGGTCAGTCATCTTAGTGTATTTCAAGATTAACAAATGAATGAGTCATTGGAGGGACACCACTGGCAATCACTGATTGAAAGAAATACAATGAAAAACACCCATTTGTACTGAGAGTGGGATTGCCTCTCCAGAGATCTGACCTGTAACTCTAGTGAGGTCTAGTGAGGTTGTTTGCTTGTTGCCATGGCAAGCAATACATTTTAAATTAATTTCCTTTTTTCTAAGGCCTTTAAAATTAATTCTCACTTAATATGTTTTTAGGTTGCTGCCAAGAAATACTGTGACTTTGAGATTCCAGCAGAGTTTACAGGTGTGTGGCGATACTTGCAGAATGCCGATGAAAGAGAGGAGTTCAAACAGACATGTCCTGCTGATATTGAGATCGAAAAAGCTTACCTTGGTGTGGCCAAAAGGAAATAAAGCCTGTTGTCATTATGCATTTACTGAGGGCAACAGCCAGGGGGCGTTACTTGTCACAACACTGCAATAAATCACCATTTTCATGAGCATCACTGGTGGGGCCAAATGTGCAATTGTCTGTCAGTGCAGTAATGTGATAGATTTTTGTTTATATTGTAAATATGTGTATGCTTTAATGATTATTCACATCATGTGTGTAGCACCCCCCCCCCCCCCCCCCCCCCCCCAAAAAAAAAAAAGTAAAAGCAAATGTTATCTTTAAAATCTATGTGTAGTCATAAACAATGACAATTCGCATTTCTCATTTTCAATTTTATTTTATCCACAATAAAAGACAACTGTACAACTTCAAAAATATATTTTCTGTTTATCAGAAAGGATGGTAAATAAAACTACAGTGATGAAGAAAAGAAGTGTTTCCCTAAAGGTGTGAAGAAAGCTCCCTTTTCTTTTTTCAATTGGTGACACAATATTTCCAGAAACATGCTGTGGACAAAACATACATACAAATACAAATTAATGATATGGCTAGAACAAAATATGTTTGAGATTAATGACAAAATGCATCGGAACGACAGTCCTGTACCTCTTTTGTTTGTTTTTGGCAGGCTCTGCTCCGATCTTATAAAACCCTGAGAGCGAAGCTTGTCAGCAGCAGCCATCTTTAAAATTACTTCTTTCAGGTCTTCAACCTAAAAACAGCATTTAACAAAGTATATATTCTCAGATTCACACTCAGTTGCATAATAATTTTAAGAATATTTTTTACCATGTTAGTATATTTTTCCTCTTTGGCAGACTCTTTGACTCCTTGAAACAAATGGAAATGGTTATTGGTCTCAAATGCATTTTTTTTTTTTTTATGTTGAAAGTTACCTTTAGTCCAGGAGTCTCTCCCAGAGCTGTGTTGCATTAGCAGAGGATACAGGTTGTTCATCTCTCTCTGTTCCACTTCTGCAGTGTTGCCTCCCTCCTCCACCTCTGTTACAAGCTTCTGAATAAATTCTGAAAATGAAAAGCAACTACACTCAATTATGAATTATAACAGTAGCCAATCTGTTCAATGCAATGTATTTTTAAGAAGTGGAATAAAATCTTTCAGTCCTACCTGCCTGTGGCTCCAAGCTGGAGTCTGGATACAAGGGTACAGCATGCGTCCTTCTGGCTGTACAAAGTGCAGCTATGAAGTATACCAGAGCTAAAGAAAGCATGATGCCTCTGAGAGTGACCACAACTGGACTAGAGCCTTACCCGACCAAGGTGTTCACTTATATATCCTGAGGAGTCATCCATCACTGAATGATCAATACATTATCATCAGAGCCAATCTTCTTCATAATGGTTTTGACGCGAAGGACCAGGCGTCATAGACAAAATTTAGGGGATGCTGTCAATTCAGCTCAGGCCTATCTGTGCTTGTTCAGAGAGCCCTAACAAATGTTTACTTTGCTGCAGCAATCAGCAACTGACCAGCAAAGGGACAATGCTTTATGTGTGACACCTGATGGCTGCCCAAGATCTTCTTACACTGATCAGTGACATCACATACACATCAGCACCAATATGAAAAGTATGTCACATGTGCCAAGGTGTTTACAATTAGAATCACACACATTATGGACACCTGACCATAATCCTGCGCCTCATGTACAGCAGCTCTTCTCATGTGTTTTGCCTTAAATAGAATAAAACTATAGTTTTTGTAGGGCTGCAAAATCAATTTACCAATAACCTTCTCTTAGTCTGTCGGGGTTCAATATCAAATTATTTGAGAAAACAGGTGTAAAGTAGACTTTTTATGGTTAGTATTTGTTTTGGACGAAGTATAAGGTCAAAAGAACACTAACAATATATCTTACAGAGTTCTTACTTTTGTCAAACTGATAGGTCAATAATGTGGCTCAGATGAAATGTCTTCCATGATTTATGTGGTTGTCACAATCTCTGAAATTGCATTGAAAAGAAAGAAAACAACACAAACTCTTGTAATATGAAACATTTTTTAAAATGGTGAGTGAGGCCACGTCAAACAGGCAAAACAAGTTTTTAAGGTTTTCTTAATATTGGTTGAATACCTGTGTAATTTTGTTTTACATGGGCCAAGAGGCACCTTGTGATGAAAAGCAAAGTAAAATAATAATAATATAATAATAATAATAATAATAATAATAATAATAATAATAATAATAAGAAGAAGAAGAAGAAGAAGAAGAAGAAGAAGAACTGACAGATAAAACATACATAAATAAGGAACACTTGGCAGGTTAAGTAACAAGCTGTATTTATTTGTCAGATAATATAAGTACTGTGTATTGAGAATAGCTAATAAACAACATTTTCATAGAAACAAGTGGGAGGAGGCCCTCGCTCATGCAGGTCCTCCACATGCAAGTCCAGTAAGGATGGATGTTTTTCTAAAGATTTCAGTGCAACTAAAAAAACAAAACAAATGTGGTTTTATTTTTATTTATTTTTTTAGCTAAAAAGCAAGGCTAAATACAGAAGAAGGAGCTTAGAAGTTAAAGTCATATTTCAGAACATTCTCCACGGAGATTATAGCCACAGGAACAATATTTCCATGAGAGCAAGCAGATCCACTCACAGTAGGCTACAGACACATATTTTCAGTGCAATAAGTCACCAGTGAGCCCACACAGTCAACCTGAGGCTATTACTGGGTTTCAAATTACAGCACAGAATTCTAAATATCAATGATTTAATAGGCCTTCAGATAGAGGCAGATAAAATGAATATTGTTCAAATGCAAAATTTTGTAATAAATCAAGTTTTTGGTTCTAGTCACTAACAGCCTGATGTGCATCATGTGAATTTACCTTTTGAATATACCGTGACAAAGTTGGGAGACCAGGGAATGTTGTCATACTGTTTCAAAAACAAAAAAGTGAAATTGCAAATTTGTGTATTTTTAGGGTTTGCTCTTCTGTCCTGAATATGAACTCATTTGATGTTGTTGAGATATCTCCAGAAAAGCAGTCACCAATAACAATATTGTACACGCAATTTTGTTATAAATTTCCAAGAAACCGAAAAAATGTAGAAAGTACATGTTAAATATTTCATTAAAAAGTATATATTTCTTCTAGTGATCAATGAAATAAATATATAATTAATTATTAATTAATAATTAAATCAGCCATACTCAATAAAAGTGCACCTGGGGGGTTTGGGACAAACTAACCCCCTTTTAAAAATAAAACATCACCCAAATCAATGAATAATATTCACACATTAAGTTTTTTTTTTTTTTTTGTGACACTGAGTAAAACACCCTTTACAGCAAGAATTGCTTTTTTGTTGGTATGCATTTTACATTTCTGCTGTGTTCGGTTTCAGAGACAGGAATGAAAAAAAGTGTGACAACGTGCCATGGACACCCCTTCTGAATAAAAATTAAAATGAAAAGGTTTTTTTAATTAATTAATTAATTTTTCAAATAAAATTTATTGCACATACAAATTATTATAAACAAATGATCATAAACATACATACATACAAAGATTACAAGACGTAGGGATAGTTAAATGATTTAGATTGATAATTCAGTTCTTTATAAATTGATAACCTATAGTTAGCTTGTTTATTTGGAAGGTTTTCTCATTTCTAAGATTGCTTTTGAATTAGGATCGGGATTATTCCACTTACAGCGATGAGTACAATATTTTCCATAATTCCCAAAATTTTAAATATACATTTATGTTTTTTATTGATATTGTTATCAAAATAATACAACAAAATATCCCTTTTCCTAAGCTTAATTCCTACACCACACAAAGATTTAAGGTTTTCAATTTCACACCAAAAAACACTTAAAATATATACATTCATAAAAACTGATTAATTTTCCGTTTTATAAAATACACATTGCTCACATTTCCTAATATTTTTTCTATAAAAAATCGTTAGATAGATCAAATGTATAATTTTAGAATAAACCTCTGTGATTTTATTGAACCAAAATATGAACCCAGTCAACATTTCAAAAATATATATATTAGTAAAATTTACACCTAGGAGTTATTTTATTTGCTACTATTTGTCTCAGAAATGTGTGATTACATTTGTTATCTATTAATTAATTAAAACGAATAACGGCTCTTGTCCCGATCTGGAGTATGACTTGATCACTCTAGAAGACTCCACGTGAAATGATTCTTCGTTTTATAAATGATTACAATTTAACAAAGAATCAGAAGAAGAATGAATGCGTTAGGATATGTTTGAGTTTTCTAATAGACCGTATAGACCGTATATATGATATGATTTTTGTACAGTCTATGATAGATCCACGTTGGTGCTTGAAATGGGTGGAGGCTCTGTAAACAGTAACGTGGCTCTAGCTAAATCACGTGACTTTAAACGCGGAAGTTGTTGATGTTGCTAAAGCCATTATTTTCTACAGGCAATTGGAGCAGTTTACCCTGAAATATGTATCTGTTTTAGTTTAATGCTGCTTAACGCCCCTAAATTCTACCAAACGGGATATCTACGAGTGACGACAAAGCAGAAACGCCAAAGAATCCGACAGTAAGTTTGAACTAACTAATGTATTGCTAACATGTTATCTTTAAATATACAGAAAGTGTTTTACGCTTGTTTGCGTAAGACTGAACGTGAAGGGGTAACTCTCTTTAGAGTTTAAGGTATGTTTTAGAAGTACCACTAGTGTTGCACTAAATAGTATTTGTATGAGTTAACGTTCTCACGAATAAATTTACAAGCTATGTATATTCAGTAGCCAGAATATTTCCAAGAGTCAGTTTTGTTTTGTTATATAATAGATATGTTTTTTGTCTATGGCTCAAAGTTCTGTATATGACACTTTCTGTTTTCTCTGCAGTACCCACCATAATGTTGTCTGAAGGAGGCTCTTTCATTAAGGGTATGGTGCTAGGAGGTGTTTTCTGCATTGTACTGTCAGTTCTCGCCAATTTCTCTACTGAGACAAAACCAGATGAACAGCACCACCATCATCATCATCATGTTAAGGCTGCGAGCAAAGATGAGCTGAAACGTCTGAGTGATGATCAACTTAAAGAGTTGAGTAATCAAGTTCGTGTCTATTGTGTCATCATGGTACAACCAAAAATCCTAGTTTACTGGGCCACTGCCATGGACACCTGGAGCAAACACTGTGACAAGTCTGTGTTTTACACCTCGGAATCGTCTAAAGCCCTTGAAGCTGTAGATCTGAATGAAAAGGATGATTGGGCAAGGTTGCGTAAGGCTCTAAGACATGCTTATGAAAATGCCGGTGACCTGCAGTGGTTTTTTATTGCACAACCAACAACATTTGCCATTATTGAGAACCTCAAGTATCTGGTACTCATAAAGGATCCAAAAGAACCATTCTATCTTGGCCATGCCATGAAGTCAGGGGAGTTGGAGTATGTCTCCTATGACAGTGGGATTGTTTTAAGTTATGAAGCCTTGAAAAGACTGGTGGACGTATTTGGGGATGAGGACAAATGTCCTGAGAGAGGCCGTGCACTGTGGAAGCTGAGCGAGGACAAGCAGTTGGCCGTGTGCCTTAAATACAAGGGTGTGTTTGCGGAAAATGGAGAAGATGTGCATGGCAAGGGCCTTTTCAACAGCAAGAGTGTTGACAGCCTAATATCAAACAGCATGAAAGAAAATCCCTCAGATGTTGTAGAGGGTTGCTGTTCTGATATGGCCATTACATTTGGTGGGATGTCTCCTACGCAAATGCAGGTTATGATGTTTGGAGTATACAGATTGCGTCCCTATGGACATGATTTTCATGACTTGTTGGAATTTCAGCCTCCAGAAGGTTCTGACAATGACTAATAACAGGGATATTTTGCTTCTGTGACTGCAAATAATTATATTTTTCTATTGTGTTTGTGAAACTGGATCCAAGTGTGAAGGGAACAGTACTTTTGTATATCTTGTACTATTTGCACAATTCTGACACCATGCTTTTTCTTGGTGACTGGCACAATTAAATATGGATGGGAATGTTGTTATGTTGTTTGATCTCACTTATTTGTATTCTTGATAATTACAAAACGAAAATAATTTTATTTTATTTTTATTTTTTTCTGATGCATCACTGGTGAACGTCATTTTGCATTGGTGGCAGGCCAAGACGAGGCTTTGTGCTTTTATCTTATCTCCTTTCCAGTCAGTTGAAAATGTTGAGATGTGTGATCTTTTTATGTTTGTGACCTGTGATTATTATTATATCTTTATTGTTTTAATGTGTCGAAAAACTACTTTGAATTTCACTGTATTTATTTAGACACTATACAGATTTTTTTTTTTTGCTTAAGTGTAAGCTTAAGTGCTTAATTGATTGGGCATTTGGTCACTATCTCATTGTGTCCTCTTTGTACAAAGTCAAAGGTAAGGTGCTAGTTATAGCTTGATTGCTACTTCGATGAAGGAATAAATAAAACTGAACCAACTTAAAGCTGCAGTGTGTAACTCTTCTGGTGGAAGGTCCATCAGATGCTTTTCTTCATGAGGATGGTATTGTTTTTTCAGGATGTGTGTAGAATCCATGGCAAAGGGGAAATACAATTTGTCAACAAACAAAAGTTTTATAGTATGGCATTAAACCTTTCTATCATCATGGAGACCAAATCACACCAAATTACAGGTCTGATCTGGGAAGAGGCAACCCTACTCAAGGTCAGAATGCTTGTTTTTCTAGGTACTTTTTTGAGCTATACAACAACCTGTAATCAAATAAATGTAAGGTAAGCTGTTTATTGTCATATTGTGGAACATTCCAGGCAGAACAATGACATATCCATAGAAACAAGCAGGCAATGGACCCATCCAAAAACTTACATAGTGCACCTTTCCCCTAATATTGTGTCTAGGATTGGGCTATCTGACATTCGTAGAAATCAATCACACAAATGCAAATAGACTGTTAATAGTCAAATTTCTCTATTTGTGTGGCTACTGTGTGTTAACAATAAGTTATATTTTAATATTGAGTTGAGTACATCTCCAAATCAGTACAAACCTATAATTGTGTCAACGGAACATTTTATTTCAATTCATGCAAAGTCTAAATAGAAAAATGAAGGCACACTGACATTTTAGGTTAACCAGTACATGGCAGCAGGTGCCTTATTTATTGGTACAGACAGTATAGGGGAGTTCCAAAATTAATGAAGCATTTTTTTTTTTGGGTTGTCCACAAATACATTTACATCTGGTTGCACTGCCAAGTCCACAGTTGTAAACAGTGCCCCTTTCAGAACCTCTGCTTTTTCTGATCTTGCATTGTAGGTGCAATTTCTCATTTATACGTCTTCATGTGCCATAATCCATCATTCAAATAATGGACATTCTCAATCCCAATTCCTTTGTTGACTTTTTCTCTGTAAGGAATAAAACTATTAATACACATGCACAAGAATGTTTTTTACAAATATGTTATGAAATGTCATACATACATGTTTTCAGCAGACATCTTCATCACACCAACACAAAGTGCATGCTGTTTACCTTCAGCCATTATAGCCTAAATTATTTATATAGGAAAAATAATGTGACAGTGAAAACATACTTAAAAAATAGACCATCAAGTTCTAAAAATTGTGTGTTAATTTCAAAGGATACAACTACTGTGTCAGCCTCAGCCGGATAAAGTTTAGCACCAGGTGACGTTAGGCCAGGACACATGATGTTAGCTCCACTTAGGACAAATTTGATTGCACCTTTGTCTACTTGCTGGTGAGGGAGAATAAATGGATCTATGAAAAGACAGAGACAAGTTGATCAGAGTATATATAAAAGCAAGAAATAAACAAAGATCACAGTGAAATCTCACATTTATGCAACAGTCGGAGAGTGGGATAGAATGGCCCTTCCCTTTGTCTGAAGAAAAGCAATTCTCCATTGACAGTCAAAATTTCAATGTGTTCATGACTACAGGGAGGCAGAAAGCATGGACAGATGAGCAATTAAACAGCTACAAAAAATAGTACTCATTAGAAAAAATACTGTATACCATCTCACTATTTTGACAGGATCCTTTTTGGGCATTATATGATTGAGCCATAACTCAATGTCCGGAAACTGTTCCAATAGCTGATTCTTGATTCCTTTGATCACTGATGTCTTCAGCTGGATGCAATTGGATACATTTTCTTTTTCATCAAATCTAGTGATAAAACAACCAAATAAAGAATGTTTATAAGGATACTACAATGAACAGATACATTGTGTATATTTAGACACCTGAGGATATTCAATCTTGTTATTATTACTGTCACAGTGCCATTCATTCATTGGGATTATATTGTAATTTCGTTTTTAGAAACAAAGAATATATTGACACTACTGATAGAATCTTCCTAGCGGATTTCGTCTACATATTTCAATCACATAGTTTTTTAAATACATAAAGCTAAACATTTAGAAATGCTGGCGATAGCTACATAGCTAGCTGTTTCAAGCTACACTCAAAATAAAAAAACAACAACATACTTACTTTTTGAACATCGTGTTTGATTGAATCACGTCGATTTAACTTCCCCAAAGGTTGCAGAGACTACAATGATGGCTGAAATACAATACATACAACTTATTATAAAGTATTTCTTAGCAATGCACGCTTGTTTTACCGTGGAAGTCAAGACGTATTTTGCGTCTGACGTCACGGTGATGCTACGTTTACCTACATTTGCTATTCATTTCGTTCAAAATTTGTACTGATTTACCACATAAATCAAATACATACCACAATTTGAGTGTTCAAAATAAAGATTAATGCAATGCACAGCCAAAAATACATGATTTGTAAGGCAGATAGAACACACAAGTATGTGTATATGGTGGAATAATGCAGTGGAATAATTTAATGCATTCATATGTTGGTTACTGATGAATAACAAACAATACAGTGTATTGTCCCTATGTCATTTATCACAGTTTGAAGTTATAGAGTGCACGTTTGCTCTCAAATGCAACAAAATAGCACCATCTTGTGGAAGAAGTTACTTTGTGCAACTAAAAAACGTGTGCGAGAAGCGCTTTTGTACAAAGTACTTCCGGTGGGTCACGAACCAGATTTTACAAGTGAAATCACTCTGTATTTACCGGCAAACGTCTATCTGTGAAAAAGGGCCGTGTTTCTGTTGTACGACTCTGTTAGCGTGTGATTTTGTTTAACGAACGCTATATTTAAACGTTTACTTTAGACGAGGAACAACGCGGTTTCTAGCAAAAGAGGAAGCAATAGCCAACCATCTTTTTTCTACCAGCAAAAACAAGAAAGGGACAAGGCTAGGATCAAGTGTAGTACTGTGGTAGTTTGTAGTTTATTGTCTGTTTTATACCTGGATACAGCACTTTGCGGAGACGCAACTACGTGTACAAACACTCGGGGACATTTAGTTCCTTCTGGACATACCTGGAAGTTTGGGATTAAGAAGACTGGCTGTAAAGATTTAGTATTCCCGTTTTTTCATGTTTCCAACAGGTTTATCTTCCCCTAATCCCCCACCACCGCCAACCCAGGAGGCAAGACCAGAGACTACTGATGTCAAAAACGACAGTGGAAACATTACATCTCCGAAAAAGAGGAAAATAAACTGCTCCGAGAGGGAAGACAGTGCCGACACGATCTCCCATTCGCCCCCCAAACCGACCTCCTGCTCTCCCACCCCGCTGCACATTCAGAAGAAGTTACGCTTTGAGGATTCGCTTGATTTCATTGGACTGGATGCTAAAATGGCTGAGGAATCTGCTGCTGCTTCGTGCTCAAACAATAAAAGCAAAGTGTTTCTGCCCGGTGGCGTGGGGCATCATGCAAACGGACTGACAAAAGGGGCAGGCTCCACCACCTTCTCGAGCAGTAAACCTGGAGCTGCTAAGAAACTAGTCATCAAGAACTTTAAAGGTTAGTTCTATAATATTATCACTGTATCAGTGTACCAACACACAATAACTAATTTACAAGTTGTCCAAATGCAGCGAATGATGTCTCAAAAAAGTTTTGATCAATAAGCATGTGTCAGGCAGAATTCATCGTCTCAAGAATTATAATTCCAATTCAATATTTTACATACAAACCAATTTATACCAAGTGTTATTTATTTTGTATTTTATTTTTTGGTCAATATAGACATGTAAACAAATGTTTCATGAATGCACAATTATGTCATACTATTCTTTTTTCCCCACAGAAAAGCCCAAGTTGCCAGAGAACTACACTCAGGAAACATGGCAGAAACTGAAAGAGGCAGTAGAAGCCATACAGAACAGCACTTCAATCAAGTACAATCTAGAGGAACTTTATCAGGTATCATAATATGGTTTTCAAAGAGAGGCCTCTGCCAAATAAAGATCACAATCACAAACTGTTAACTGCTATGTTGTTTCTCTAGGCTGTGGAAAATCTGTGCTCTCACAAGATTTCTGCCAAACTGTATAAGCAGCTAAGAGCGGTGTGTGAAGACCACATTAAGGCACAAATTGATCAGTTCAGAGAATATCCTTTAACTGTACTTGTTTGTCCATGATTACTTTATGTGTAAATATCCCCAAAGTTTAAAGTTTGTACACACTGAATGTTGTACTTAAATGCCTTAACCCTTTATTACGGATGCCTTGGATAGTGTGCTTTTTCTCAAGAAAATTGATAAATGTTGGCAAGATCATTGCAGGCAAATGGTATTTATTTTGGACTGATACATTATTTTCCATGTAGGATCAATCAGGTATTTAAATACGCTTAATTTTTTCACAGATAATGATTAGGAGTATATTTTTGTTTTTGGACCGTACTTATGTTTTACAAAACTCTATGTTGCCATCAATCTGGTGAGTTTTGGGCCTTGCTGTAAAAAGACAATTATGTTTTTAAAATGGGACATGTGAAGCTGATCTGGTATTTTTATTTTGAAGGGATATGGGCCTGGAGCTATTCAGGTTTTACATCATCAGTGACGCGAAAGTCCAAAGTAAAACCATAGATGGGATTTTGCTTCTCATTGAAAGGGAGCGTAGTGGTGAAGCCATTGATCGCAGCCTTCTCAGGAGCCTGTTGAGCATGCTCTCTGACCTTCAGGTAAATTGATATTGGTGTTGCTGTTTTTGTTGAAAAT